GCAGGCTTCCATCGAAGGGGTCCAATCTGGAGTAGTAACCGTGTTTCCCCGTAGATAGGTAGCTTACTGCCATCCACCATCGTTGCTGAGAAGCTTGAGAACTTGATTTCATCTCCGAGTCGATCGATTGCCTTTTTGTCATAGACGCTGTGCGACGCCCCGCTGTCCACGAGTGCTTGGAGGCGCTGTCCGTTGCAGATCACCTCGAGCAGGAGTGGTGAGCGTTGCTCGGAGTACCCAAAAATAGTCTCATTAATAGGATCATAGGGTACATCCCAATATTCAGTACACACCGTGGTTCCACTGTTTGCTCCTGGACAACCAGCTGGCCTGGGCTGCGTGGAGAAAAGCTCCTCTCCAATGCCAGGAGTAGAGGTAGTAACCGTACAGGTTGACCCTGAGGGGGTGGATCCGGTCGACGCCTGCGATCCACTGGATGCATCCTGGAGGGGTTTTCGGAGTTTCCGCAGCTTCTTTTGAACTCCCAGCTGCCTCTTCAGCTGCTTCAGCTCCATAGACTTCTTGGAGAGTGGAGAGTCGTATTGGGCTGGTTCCGGGAGAGGACGTTGACGCCGTGAAAAGGTGTACTCCTTTCCACACTCCATTTTTTCCCCAGCTCCGTAGGCACCGGTACCACTTCTTTAATTGTCTGCTTCCTCTGGAGTTCTTCCCGGAATTTGTTTATGGCTCCGGACCCGCGAAAATCACAAGTCTTCATTAAAGCATCTTTGAAAGATAACTTTAACGAATCCTGCTTTTTTCCGGGGTCGAATTGGAGAGTTCCCGTCTTGGTCGAGTCTTTTTTCGCGGAGGTTTTCTTTTTCTCGGCGAATCCCTCTGACAAATTTCGGTCAAGGGGCTTGGGATTTCGCCCTTGATTCTCCAAATCTCGCGCCCAATGCTGTCCTTCAATTTCGATTCGGTCCAGATTGCGCTGACGCTTTCGGATCTGCTTTTCCTCGCCAGCACGATCCGCAATCACTGGCGAGATCCGTTTTTTGACTTTTTGTCTTTGGTTTCGCCACTCCCACGAGCTCGGAATGCCGCACGTGCATATTTCTAAGAAAAATTGAAACGAGAATGAGTGAACTATGAATGAAGTGGGTACAAGTACTAACCCTATTTGGGCTGTACCCCCTATGGGATACCCCACTACAGCCTACACAAAAGCATAAGCTATAATGTTCTGACACACAAGACCAATCAAGCAAAGCAAAACAGAGCAAAGCTCAGGGTGGATCACAAAGTCACCACACATTCCGAGCACAAGTACAAGGCCACAAGGCCAGTTCACATGCAGGAGTACATACATATATAAGGCTAGACAAGCAAGAGCAGGTATATATATGTAACAGTACAAGCAAGGTCAAGAGGTGACCAAGTGAGGCAAGACAGGGACAAGACCCAACTGAGTGCAGAAGCGCTGATGATCACAAGGCGGAAGTGCCCTGGTGAAAACATCAGCAGTGTTGGCCTCAGAGGCCACGTACGCAAGCCGCAACTGTCCACGCTGCTGTAGCTCACGAGCAAGGAAGTAGCGGAGAGCAATGTGCTTTGTTCTGTGCTCCAGTCGCTGCTCTCGACACAAGGCCAGCATGGCCTTGTTGTCTACGTACAGTACTGGAGGAGAACGAGGCAGCTCTCCGAGGTCAGTCAGCAGGTAGGTGAGCCAGCGAAGCTCCTGTGCAGCCATGGCCCCAGCGTAGATCTCAGCCTCACAACTAGAGCCGAGAATAGAAGACGAGCGAGTAGCCCGCCACGAGACAGAGCCGGAACCAAGGCTGAAGGTGTAACCCTGTGACGACCGTTGCGTAGCCTGGTCGTCAGCCCAAGAAGCGTCTGCGTGCCCAGTGAGGACCACTGGACTGCGCCCTCCAAGCACTAGCCCCATGCCCGGCGTACTGCACAAGTAGCGCAACACCCTCTTCGCTGCAGCCATGTGCTCTGGTCGGTGTCTCCCAGGAGCAACATAGCGTGCGAGAATGCTAAGAGGGTATGCAAGGTCAGGTCGTGTGCAGGTCATCAGGTACATGAGGCAGCCAACAAGCTCTGGGTACGGGCCACTCGACTCTACGGACTCATCCGAAGGCAGAGCTGAGAGCGAGTGGCGAGTAGGCACAGGAGTGGCCTGGGGCGAGGAGTACGTGAAGCCGAAGCGCTGAAGGACCTGCTGCACCATGTGTGACTGAGTCAGGGTAATGGTTCGGCGTGCTCTGTCCCGAGTGATCTGCAAGCCAAGGTAGCTGCGCAGTTCACCCAGGTCAGTGCACGTGTGTCTCTTCTGCAACTCGGACTTCACGTAAGCGAGTCCAGCAGTGTCAGCTGTGGCAAAGACCAAGTCGTCGACGTACACGAGGATGTAGAACGGCGGAAAAGAAGTGTCGGTGCGCAGAAACAGCGACGGGTCGGCAGTAGAGGGAGCAAACCCAAGAGCCGCAAGTGTAGTCCTCAGTGTGTCGTGCCACTCACGCGGTGCCTGGCGGAGACCGTAGACTGGCCGGCGGAGGCTCCACTGGGTGCCAGGAGGAAAAGTCCCAGTGAAGCCAAGTGGGCGGCGCAGCCAGATCTCCTCGTGCAGGATGCCCTGCAAGAAAGCAGTGCTGAAGTCAAGAGAGTGAAGCTCGTAGTCGCGCTGAGCGGCTATGTGCAGCAGCACCCGAAGAGTGTTCATCTTCGGGGTGGGAGAGAAGGTCTGAAAGTAGTCAACTCCCTGCCGCTGACTGAAGCCACGAGCCACGTAACGCGCCTTGAAGACAGGTGGAGAACCCGGCGGTCGCTTCACCCTGAAAATCCACATGCCACTGACGATGTTCGCCCCAGGAGGGGGAACGGCGTCAACGTAGGTGCCTGTGGACTTCCACGAAGCCATCTCTGCGTCCATAGCTGCCTGCCACTAAGAGGAGTAGGGACCCTCTATCGCCTCCGCGTAAGAGCGCGGAGTCGGGATGTCAAGTGCATCCGGGTCTCCCTCAGGGGTAAGCAGTACGGACACGAGATGAGGTGAAGCAGCGGCCAAGCAGTGGAACTCCTCCTGCCTGTCCTCAAGGACGTCCGTGCCAAGGGCACACTCACCCCCGACGGACGGAGGACAGACAGACTCACACTCAGCAACAAGACTGGCAGCGTAGTCTAGACGACAGCGAGCAGCAAAGTCGACGAGCTCAGCAAGTAGGGCAGACGCAGTAGTGGACTCAAAGGAAGGGTCAGTGACAACAGTAGCAAGGAGATGCGTGAAAGTAGGACTGGCAGCACGAAGAGAGTCCGACTCCGGGTCGGCAAGAGCAGGAAGAGAAGACTCAGGAGGAGAAGGCAAAGGGGCACGCAGAGGAGCAGTGGACGGACGCAGAGACATTCGAAGCGTGCCAGGGACAGGAGGAGGACGCTGACGCGAACCGCGACCACTAGTGCGAGCAGCACGGACAGGCGACGCAGGGCGAGACGCAAGCTCACGACGCTCAGCAAGACCTCCAGTAGGACCAGTGTAGGGAGACGGAGCAGGCAGTGGGGAGGCCGGCTGTAACTGTAACTGTGACGGGACAGGCTTTGGACATGCTAAGGGAGGCGGAGGACCAGTAGAAGGCGGGAGACCAAGAACCTGCTGAAGGAGCGGAACGAAGTACGGCCGAGGCCGCGCGGCGACTCCAGACACAGCAGAGACAGCACCAGTACCCCCAGCGGCAGCACCAACACCAGCAGCACCTCCAGCTCCAGTACCTCCAGCAGCACCAGTAGCACCCTCAGCAAGACCGCCTCCAGGACCGACAGCAGTAGCCTCCAAGCCAGCACCCGAAGCAGCTCCCGCTCCAGAAGTACCCGCATGCCCAGCAGCTCTAGTACTCCGAGTACGAGCACCGCCGGGACCCGCGGTACCAGCACCCACAGCAGCAGCAGAACCTCCAGTACCCGCAGCACCTCCAGCTCCAGCAGCTTGCCTCCAGCGCCGGGCAAACCACTCACGCAGCTCCTGTGGAGAGAGTGGCTCCCGGCGAGACGAAGCACCCGGAGAACCGCCAGGCTTAGCACCGCCAGACGCCCCACGAGCAGGCCCAGCTCCCTCAGGCTCAGCACCTCCAGGCGTAGCACCCCCAGGCTCAGTACCCCCAAGTTCAGCACCCCCAAGCATAGCACCCCCAGGCTTAGCACCCCCAGACTCAGCACCCCCAGGCTCAGTACCCCCAGGCTCAGCACCCCCAAGCATAGCACCCCCAGGCTCAGCACCCCCAGACTCAGCACCCCCAGGCTTAGCACCCCTAGTCGTAGTACCCTCAGGCTCAGCACCCCCAGGCGTAGTACCCACACGCTCAGCACCCCTAGAGTCAGCACCCCCAGAGTGAGCACCCTCAGGCTCAGCACCCTCAGCAGCACCAGAGTCACCAGCGACCTCGACAGGCTCGACAGCGTCTACCTGGGACACACCTGAAGGGGCAGGACCCTGAGGGGGGAGGGGGTCTACCGGGGGGGGACCTGGCACAAGGAAGAGCGGTGGCGGGGGGAGGGACGGAGTGCGGTAGGGGAAGAGACGGTAGTAGGGGACCGACTCGTCGAACGTGATGTCCTGAGATGACAGAACACGGCGAGAGGTGGGGTGGTAGAACTTCCACCCTGGCGCGTCAGGGGGGAAACCCAGGAAGACGCAAGGAGCAGCACGAGGGGACAGCTTGTCCGCAGACAAGTCGCGAACAAACGCCCGAGATCCCCAGACACGGAACGCAGACGCATCGCCAACCTTCCCCGTCCACAGCAAGGCTGGGGAGGTCTCCGGCATGGAGACCCTGGGCTGAAGGTTGATCAGATGCGCCGCGTACCGGACCGCAAATGGCCACAGAAAATGGGGGGTAGCCGCATGCATCATGGACGTACGGGCGACGTCCATGACCATGCCAATGCGGCGCTCTGCAATCCCATTTTGCTGTGGAGAGTGCGGAAGCGTGAAGGTCTGGCGGATGCCTCGTGCACGACAGTAGGCTCGCAGAAGGCCAGAGGAGAATTCTCCGCCTCTATCAGAGTGCAGACGCAGAACAGGAAAGTCCGAGCCGAAGCTCCGCCTCAGCTGGAGACGAGCTGCGCAGATCCAATCGATCAACACCTCAGTGACATCACCCTTGCTGCGCAAGGGGAAGACTGTGGTGTAACGCGAGTAGTCGTCAACCACCAGCAGGAAGTAGCGCTCGTGACCCTGTCCACGGACGCGGGCCGGGCCCCACACGTCCATGTGAAGCGTCTGCAGCGGGGCCTCTGTCGGAGGAAACTGGGAGGAGTGAGGGGCAGCCCGCTGCCGCCCCTCGACACAGGGGACGCAGGTAGGGCCAGGCCCCGGAGGAAGGGGAGGGAGGGACCGGGGAAGACCAGAGACAAGGACACGGGAGGCCATGCTTCGGAGACGAAGCAGGGAGGGGTGACCAAGGCGGTGGTGCCAGAGGAGAGTCTCGTGAGACAGGAGGCGACACGAGCAGGGGGCAGACTCAGGACCAGACCTGGACGCTGCAGCAAACACCTGACCCGATGCAGCTACCTGACCAGACGCAGGGACTGGAGGAGACGCAGTGGTAAGTGTGTACAGGCTCGACCCCGGCCGACGAGTAAACGTGGCCAGGTGTCGGCCTCTCCGAGCGTCCGTGCAGTGGGTCACCCGCTGACTCGCAGGAGTGAACTGGTGAACCCCCGCATCCTGCAGGTCAGCACCACTCACCAAGTTCGTAGAGAACGAGGGGAGGTAATACCAGACAGGGTGCTAGAGGGGGCCGCCGGACACGGGAGGACAGTGGAGAAGTGAGCAAGGACAGGGCCCCCAGAGGGGTCTGCCAGAGAGACTGCAACTGGCCGACCAAGCGGCGTGAGTGTGGTGCGGTCTCGAAAGAAGGAGCGGGAAGCTCCCGAGTCAAGGGTGAAGGTGTGAGAGGCCGGAGCCGCCGCGGTACCTGAGAGAGCAGTTTCACCCGCACCTGAGGAAGCAGACTCACTAGCACCTAGAGCAGCAGCCGCACCTGTACCTGGAGCAGGAGACACACTAGCACCCAGAGCAGCAGCCGCACCAGCAGCTAGAGCAGCAGGCTCGATACCCGGTTCAGGCGGTACGCACAGGTGACCGGCACGGTCAGCACTAGTAGGCAATGCATACATGGCAGTGAGAATAGCATCATAGTCAAGAGCAAATATATCTACCCTCTGCCTAAGCAACTCCACCTAGTCGGGGAGCTCAGCCTCGTCGCTAAACTCGGTACGCCAGGCGTCGCTCAGACGGGCGAAGCAGCGGGACTGTGTGTGACTAGGCGTCCCACAAGGCTGACCAGTCCGAGCACCAGTGCGAATCACGTAAGAGCAGCGAACAGAACTGAGAGACCCTCCACTCTGACCGTACCACTCACGAAGCTGCTAGGGCGTGAGAGACGCGCGTGGGGGTCGCTGGAGCTGCATCTGGCCGCCGCCAGTAGTAGTAGCAGTAGTAGCGCCGCCACCCCTACAACCCCAACCAGCGTACCACTCACGCAGCTGCTCGGGCGTGAGGGACTCACGCGGACGTCACTGGGGCTGCATCTGGCTCCGCCAGTAGAAGTAGGAGCAGGAGTAGAAGCAGTAAGGCAGGCAGCCAAGCAAGCGGCAGGCAGCGCGCTAGTAAGGCAGGGGCTCACCAGTGGTTGGAAGAGCAGGTTCTACGACTCGGCGACTCGGCGGTGCGGGCGGCTCGGGCGGCTCAGCGGCACGGCGGCACTGCAACAACTGCGGCTCGGCGGCTCGGGCGACTCGGGCGACTCAGCGGTACGGCGGCTCGGCAGCAACTGCAGCTCGGCGGCTCGGCGACTCGGCGGCTCGGGCGGCTGAGGTGGCGCTGCGGCTCGGGCAGCTCGGGTGGCTCGGGTGGCTCGGCACTAGCTCGGTGGCGCCGGCGGCTCGGTGGTGACGGTGGGGCCACTTGGGGACGGCGGCGGGGCCAGGTGGAGCGGCGACGGGGCCCGCAGAGGTGGCGCCGAGGCCGCAGGGTAGGCGTCCGGGCCAGCAGAGGCGGCGCCGGGGCCAGCAGAGGTGGCGTTGGGGCCGGGAAGGGCAGCGCCGGGGCCGCAGGGCTAGGCGACGGGGCCAGTAGAGGCGGGGCCAGGTCGGGAAGAGTGGCGTCGGGGTCGCCGGGGTAGGCGACGGGGCCAGCCGAGGTGGCGCCGGGGCCGGGAAGGGCGGAGCCGGGGCCGCAGGGTGCGGAGATAACTACTACAACGGGAGCTTAGAGTACTGGCTAGGCACGTGTGCTCGTGTGATGTCTGCATTCGTTGGTCCTTAGACGTTTTCCTTGTGCATACACTACTTGCTAGTTCACGGGGAAAATTGGCAAGAGTTTCACTAGGAAAAGTTCAGAACAATGGTACAATGAAGTTGGCAATGCAAGACTACATCAGAGCAAGCATTCAGGTCGGCCAACTGCCAGCGCAGCTTGGTCGACCGCGTTCCAGCACGGCTTCGTCGACCGCGCTCCAGCAAGGCAAGGTCGACGGCGTGCCAACGTCGCAGGTTGACGGCGTGACAGCGTTGCTCACGCAGGACAGCAGTGCACCCTGCTTCGCAGTTGTGCGCAGATGATTGGCGCGCAGAGTCTTGTCACCTGCACAGCGCACACACCACGTCAACCTCGAGCTGACGACTGCCTCTGATCCGCCACGACGACCTCGGGATACCACCACTGAGGTCGGGCTTGCTAACTTCGCCTGGGCGACCGTCGCCTTCCTCCGCAGCACTTCGTCACCCAGGTAACCTGGTCGACCAGGCAACCACGTCGACCAGCAGCTCCCGTACGTGCCCGTCGACCTCCCAAGTCGACGACCACCTCCACGTCGACCTCACCAGGTCGACGACACCATCGGTCGACCTCCTCCAGGTCGACATCCCCTCTGGTCGACCAGCTCCACGTCGACCAGCACTCCTGGTCGACCTGCTCCTCGTCGACCAGCACAGTCGTCGGCCGACCACCCACGTCGGCCACCCGAAGCTGGCGTCACGAAGTTGACGCCCCGCTACTCGACGCCCAACTGCTCGGCGTCCTGAGTCGAGGTCGACGTCGGCCCCTCCTTCGTCGACCACCAGGTCCAGTCGACCACTAACAGGTCGACTAGCAGTCTGTTAGCCGACTGCCGAAGTCGGCTTCCCCAAGTTGACGTCACCAAGTTGACGTCCTCCGCAGGTCGACACCCAAGTCGACCTCCCTGAAGTCGGCGCCACCCTGAAGTCGGCGCCCGTGCAGTGGTCCCCCGTGCAGGTCGACCTCCTCGTCGACCATCTCACCCACTGCTGAAGGCCGGCTGCTCCCCTCACACCCGACCACGAAGTCGGCTCCGCCCAAGCGAGGACGGGGCCAATACCCAACTCCCGTTGACACTCCCCTGCCGCGTTCACGCTTGGGCCCCCAGCCCACACGGCAGTACAGCTCCGGAATAGCCCGCGGCGTGCACCCAACACACAGCACACCGGTCACCGCACCAGCCATGCAAGAGGGCATGGCACCTACTGCTGCACGTCGTTGTCGCCGTCGCTCACGTCGGCCAAGCGCACCTGGCCGATTGCGACGGAGCACCGGTTGAAGGCCGGATACTGCAGCGCCTTCGTCAGGAAGTCGGCCGGCTGCTCAGCGGTTGGGATGTACCTCAGCGAGAACTTCCCGCGCTTCACCATGTGCTGCAGCCAGGCCTGTCGCCGCTCCATGTGCTTGAGGTTGCCCGTCAACCCCATGCCCTCGACGACTGTGATGGCCGACTTGTTGTCCACCCGAAGGACGGTCGGCTTCCCGGCATCCAGCTGCCGGAACTCTGCAAGGAGGAAGCGAAGTCGGCGTCCTTCCTTGCCGGCTTCGGTGGCTGCCACGTACTCCGACTCAGTCGATGACAACGTCGCACACTTGATGCGCTGGCTCGACCAGGAGACTGCGGCCCCTCCATAGACGAACACGTAGCCACCCGTGCTCGTCCTGTTCTGCTTGTCACCGGCGTCGTCGGCGTCCACGTAGCCGACCAGCTCCAGCGACTCAGGTCCACCGCCGAACTCCAGTGCGGTGTCGCGCGTATTGGCGAGGTAGGCGAGGCAGCGGTCGACCTCGCGCCAGTGCTGGTCGCTCCTCACCGTGAGGCCGCTCCCCAGCTTGCTGCACGCGAAGGCGATGTCCGGCCTCGTCGTCGTCGCCGCGAACTGCAGCGAGCCGACCTTCTGCCGGTACTCCTCTTCCTGCCGCTCCTGTGCCTCCTCGTCATCGAACGTGAGCTCGGCGTAGGCATCGACCGAGACCGGCGTCTTCGGGGTGCGCCCGGTCTGCTCCTCGTCGATGAAACGCCTACGAAGCTTGTCGGCGTAGCCCTGGTGGTGCAGCCACAGCTTCCCCGCCGACCTGTCGCGGACGATCTCCAGCCCGAGGTACTTCTGCACCGGCGAGATCTCACGCAGCTCGAAGGCGGCTTCCAGAAGCTCCTTCAGCTCCTTCAACATCGCGGCGCTACTGCTGGCGGCAAGTAGGTCGTCGACGTAGACCAGCACCCAGCAGGCCACTCCGTCCTTTCCGTCCTTGAAGTAGAGAGCCTCGTCGACCTGGCTCTTCTTCCACCCGGCGCCGACCAGCACGTCATTGAGCGCCAAGTACCATAGCAGCGGCGACTGCTTTAGCCCGTACAGGCTCTTCAGCAGCTTGCACACCCGGCCGGTCCCGTCGTTGAAGTAGTCCGGCTGGGACATGTAGAGCACCCTGTCGAGCTTGCTCTGCAAGAAGGGGTTCTTCATGTCGAGCTGCATCAAGTTGAGGTTGCGGACGGCGACGATGCTGAGGAAGATCCTCAGCGTGACGTAGCTGCCCACCGGCGCGAACGTCTCGTCATAGTCGGCGCCGTACACCTGCGTGAAGCCCTTCACAACCAGCCTCGCCTTCTCGCGCTCGACGGTGTCGTCGACGTGGTACTTTGTCGTCAACACCCACCGGCTCTTCATGACGTTCACTCCCGGCGGACGTTCGACCAACTCCCACGTTCCCATGTTGAGGAGGCTGCGAATCTCCTCCTCCATGGCGGCCTTCACCGCCGGGCCCTTCCAGCTCGCCAACGCCTCCTTCACCGTCATCGTCGAGATGTCCCAACGGTGCTCGGGGTCGGCTAGCATGTCGGGGTCGAGCTCTGGAAACTCCTCAGCCTCCTCGGCATCGTCGTACAGCAGGTCGTCGGCCTCATCGTCCACGTCGTACACCGTGGTGAAGGCAGCGGGGACGAAGAAGTCAGGCGGTCTCCGAAGTCGACCTGAACGCCGTGGTCCTGGCTGGACCTCCTCGGCGTCCCCTCCATCGTTGCTGTTGTCGCTGCCCTCGGCGTCCTGCTGCTCCTCAGTCGGCGTCCCAGCCGACTTCTCCCCTGCTGTCGCCAACTGCTTCTTGGTCGGCGTCACTGCTGCCTGCTCCTTTGTCGGCCGCTGGTCCTCGACCTGCTTCTCGACCTGCTCCTCCCCTGTCGACGTCGACTGCAATCCCACGTCGACCTGCCGCTCGTCACGTCAGCCACCGGCGATGCACTTGGGCGAAGGCGACGTCCCACTACTCCCCTCATCGCCGGAGGCCGACACCGAGGTCAGCCCACGCAGGTCGGCCACGAGGGGAGGGGCAGGGGTCGGAGGGGGAGGGGTAGGGGGGCGGACGTCCTCGACGTCCGTAATAGCAAGCTCACCGACCTCGGCAAGCAGTGGCAGCGTCGCCGACAAGGTGTCAGAGGGCGGGGTGGGCGACGAGCGGCCGGACACCGACCCGTACTCCGTCTTCCATTCGGCCAGCGACAGCTCCTCGTAGAACACCACATCCGACGTGGTGACCACCCGGTCGGCGTCGACGTCGAGGAGCTCCCAGCCCTTGCTCGCCGCCGACACGCCAAGGTGCAGGCCCCACCTGGCCTTCGGCTTCAGCTTCCCACTACGCTGCTGCTCAGGGACAAGGAACTGCGCCATGCAGCCCCACACCCGCGCCAGCGACAAGTCGGGCTTCTTCCCGGTCAGCAGTTGGTACGGCGTCGTCCCCGGCGGCAGCGCCGACCTCTCAAGGCAGTTGCGGACCCAGACGGCCTGCCGGAGAGCGAGGTGCCACCAGTGGTGCTGCACGCCCATGTGCAGCAGCATTGTCCGCA